CTTGGAGGTATTAATCCTATCTAATTACATCTTGGAGGTATTAATCCTATCTAATAATCCCTTGGAGGTATTAATCCTATCTAATAATCCCTTGGAGGTATTAATCCTATCTAATTACATCTTGGAGGTATTAATCCTATCTAATAATCCCTTGGAGGTATTAATCCTATCTAATAATCCCTTGGAGGTATTAATCCTATCTAATTACATCTTGGAGGTATTAATCCTATCTAATAATCCCTTGGAGGTATTAATCCTATCTAATAATCCCTTGGAGGTATTAATCCTATCTAATTACATCTTGGAGGTATTAATCTTATCTAATAATAGTTCGAGATATTAATCCTATCTTATAATCTTTTGAGGTATTAATCCTATCTAATAATCCCTTTGAAGCATTTATCCTATCTTATACTCCTTGGAGGTATTAATCCTATCAAATACTCCCTTGGAAATATTAATCATATCTTAAACTCCTAGGAGGTATCAATCCTAGCGATCCTTGAATTTATTAATCCTATCTAATACTTCTTGAATGTATTAATTCTATCTATTAATCCCTTGGAAGTATTAATCTTATATAATACTCTTTGGCGGTATTAATCCTATCTAATAATCCCTTGGAGATATCAATTTTATCCTATTTTATACTCCTTGCAGGTATTAATTTAATACGCCTTGGAGTTATCAATCCTAACTAAAACTCCCTTAAAGGTATTATAATCCTATCTAATACTTCCTTGGAGGTATTAATCCTAAATATTATTCCCTTGGAGGTATTAATCCTATCATAATAATCTTTGGAGGTATTAATCCTATCTAATAATTTCTTGAGTTATTAATCCTCTTTAATAATCCTTGAAGTTTTTAATCCTATCTAATAATTCCCTGGAGATATCAATCCTGTGGATGTAATAATCCTACCTTATAATCCCCTGAATGCAAAAAATCTTTCCTTATAATCCAGAGACGTATTGATTGTATATCCTTTACAAATGATAGTCAATCGCAATGTCCATTCTTGGCTGTAAAGAGAGATTTGTGTTTAAGAATTGAAGATCTATCTATTCACTATATATACACTATGTATATATATTTATGTATAGGCAACAGAGAAAGTGTAACTGCAAATCTTTGGTCAATCAAATACCCTACTTTCCTACATAAATAGAGATTATACGCTGCAATGCAGTTAAACCCTTTTGTAACACACTAAAACCTTGTGTAAGCTTATAACACACTAAAACCTTGTGTCAGCTTATAACACACTACAACCTTGTGTAAGCTTATAACACAGTAGAACCTTGTGTAAGCTTATAACACACTTATAGAACCTTGTGTAAGCTTATACCACACTAGAACCTTGTGTAAGCTTATAACACACTAGAACCTTATGTAACCTTACAACACACTATACTCTTGTGTAAGTTTATAACACACTACAATCTTGTGTAAGCTTATAACACACTACAACCGTGTGTAAGCTTATAACACACTACAACCTTGTGTAAGCTTATAACACACTAGAACCTGTAGTAAGCTTTTAACACACTACAATCTTGTGTATGCTTAGAACACACTAGAACCTTGTGTAAGCTTACAACACACTAGAACCTTTTGTAAGCTCATAACACACTAAAACCTTGTGTAAGCTTATAACACAGTAGAACCTTGTGTAAGTTTATAACACACTTATAGAACCTTGTGTAAGCATAGAACACACTAGAACCTTGTTTAAGCCTATAACACACTAAAACCTAGTGTAAGCTTATTACACACTAGAACCTTGTGTAAGCTTTTAACACACTAGAACCTTGTGTAAGCTTATAACACACTAGAACCTTGTGTAAGCTTAAAACACACTAGAACCTTGTGTAATAACTTACAAGAACCTTGTGTAAGCTTATAACACACTTCAACCTTATGTAAGTTTATAACACACTAGAACCTTGTGTAAGCTTATATGTAACATAAAAGGACCTTGTGTAAGCTTATATGTAGCATACAAGAACCTTGTGTAAGCTTATATGTAAAATACAAGAACCTTGTGTGAGCTTATATGTAATATACAAGAATCTTGTGTAAGCTTATAACACACTAGAACCTTGTGTAAGTTGATAACGCACTAGAACCTTGTGTAAGCTTATAACTCACTAGAACCTTGTGTAAGCTTATATGTAACATACAAGAACCTTGTGTAAGCTTATTCATTTTGAAAATTGGCAGACAAGAACAAAGAAAGAGAAAAAAGATTTAAATAATGGCTGTCAGAGAATATATTACTATTTCCACGGCTGAGGGGTTTTTAAATATTCTTATTTTAATTTTGTATTTAATTGTATTAAACAGGCGGAATCATACAATCTGAGCGTGGGGAAGTATAAAAGCAAAAAATGAAGGAATTTTAGACGAAGACGAATATTTGCCTATTTCCGGTCTAGCTGGCGATAAAATCACCAACTACAAAGAAAACTGAAGATCAACGATGCATATCTGACGCTTACTACGCGCTTGATATGCGAACATTGCATTGGTTTGAAAAGTGCGCAATTCATCCAAGAAGCAGGTGTAGAATATTTCGAAACTATTTATGCTTTTTTTTCTCAAGATTATTTGATTTTTTTCTAAGAAACCCAGAGTTTTATCATAAACATTAAACAGTGAAAATAAATTTGAAGATAGTTCCATAGAAATGAGATTAATAGTTTTAGAGTTTTTTTTTCATTTTTTATCATTTCTACTTATACTTCTTCTTTCATTTTTTCTTTTCTTCTTTATTTTTTAACTTCTTAGACTTCCTTCGTTATTTCTATTCTGAAACCTTTTTTCTCCTTCTATTTTCTCCTTCAAAATTGTTTAAAATTGTTCAACATTATCTCTTTTTCTATATTTTCATTTTTTCTTTATTTCCTTTTGCTGTCCTGTATTTTCGCATTCTTCTTTATATCTGCCTCTTTTCACCAACTCTTTTCGGGCATTTTTTTTTTTTTATCTTTTTAGTCTTTAATAATCGGAGAGTTAATTATTCCACTCCTCTCCTTCATCAAGAATAAAAGTTTGTCATTCTGAGAAGTAGAGAAAGGCATGTGTTGGTTTATAAAGATAAAACTCAAAAGTTAATCTAAGTTTGGTAGTTGGATTATTAAAAAAATCATAATATATCGCTATCCCCCCTAGAATACCATAAATGTACCTCTGCCTTTTATGTGCTTTCAAAAAGAAGAATTTTCTAATTATCTCTCTTATCAACATTTTTTATACAAACTTTGTAATTATATCTATCTAAGATAAGACACTTTTTAATGTCGTCATATGTTTATTGAGACACCCTGTACTGTTGGGTGAGAGAGAGTCCTATTTATATGAATATATAGTTTAGCCCCCTCCCCCTGCATTCCACTCTCACTCATCCCGTTAAGTCAACTTTCCGACGCACACATTTCTTTATTTGCTCCGCGCTGCAAATATATATGGGGAAGATGGTAAAAACGGGAAGAAGATGGGGGATAAGGTCCTTTAGATTTTCTAAAAAGATAAAAAGATGAAAAAGATAGAGGTGTCTCTTCTCAAAATTCAATTTTTTTTTTACTTAAGTTTTCATGGCAACAGTTCAGAATAATATTCCTATCTATCTCATGAAACTTACCGCCCCTGAACAAACATACTTAGAACAAATGCATTTAAAAAGAAAGTTACCCATATTTGGTAGATCTTATTTCATACGCGAAAGATTTTTAAAAAATATACCTCTTGTTAACACTATTGGTAAAAGTATACCTCTTGTTAACGCTATTGGTAAAAGAATACCTCTTGTTAACACTATTGGTAAAAATATACCTCTTGTTAACGCTATTGGTAAAAGAATACCTCTTGTTAACGCTATTGATAAAGAATACTTCTTGTTAACACTATTGGTTAAAGTATACCTCTTGTTAACACTATTGGTTAAAGTATACCTCTTGTTAACACTATTGGTAAAGTATACCTCTTGTTAACACTATGGTAAAAGTATACCTCTTGTTAACACTATTGGTAAAAGTATACCTCTTGTTAACACTATTGGTAAATTCTATCTCTTGTTAACGCTATTGGTAAAAGAATACCTCTTGTTAACACCATTGGTAAAAGTATACCTCTTGTTAACACTATTGGTAAAAGAATACCTCTTGTTAACACTATTGGTAAAAGTATACCTCTTGTTAACACCATTGGTAAAAGAATACCTCTTGTTAACACTATTGGTAAAAGTATACCTCTTGTTAACACTATTGGTAAAAGTATACCTCTTGTTAACACTATTGGTAAAAGAATACCTCTTGTTAACACTACAGGAAGAAGAAGAAGAATATTATGAATTCTGTAAAACATGTTGAATCCTATCTTCTCTCAGTCCACACTCTCCTTCACCTAAAATGTAATATTTTACCTAAAATTGTGTTTATTTAAATCAAAGGGTTGCTAAAAATAAATTAAAGGGTAATTACTCTGTGGCATTTGTTTAAGAGATTTAAAAAAACTTTTCTGCGGACCAAAAGTACAAAA